GGGGGGGGGGGGGGGGGGGGGGGGGGGGGGGGGGGGGGGTGTGTGAGCAGCGGGAGTGGGCCAGGAAGAGTAACCTTTCCGGTTTCAGCTGAGCAGCCCTGGGGCCGGCCCAGGATCCTGGGGGGCCAACGTCACAAGCCAGGCGGGTCTCTCTGCCCCACAAACGCCATCTGGCTCAGACCCCCTGATTCCCCGCTGGGTGCGGCGCCCTCCCCCTTACAAACCCCCCGTGCCCACGTTCCCGTCTGCGACCTGCGATGCCCCTGCTGTCCCGGCTCTCCCACCCGCCGTCCACAGCCACGGACCCTTCCCCTGGCTGCAGGAAGGGCCTCCTTGCGGACACGCTGCGGGAGGTTAGCCTGGGGGCCTTCTTCCTGGCCTGGGACCTGAGCCTGGAACTAGAGGAGATCGTAGAAGATGGGACTCAGCGGGCATGGGGTCCCTCCTTTCTCCTCACCTCCTTCCTTTCTCCAGCAGCACCACGGTGGGGATGGGGGAGGGGAAGGGGGCGCTGGGCAGCTGGGAGGAGGGAGAGCGGAATCTCTAGAGGAGGGACCCAAGGTCTGGGGGCAGTCACTCTCCTCGACATTTTTCTTTGACCTTTGAGTTAGCTCCATGTGGGCCGCGAAAGGGGCAGCGGTTAGCCCTGTTTCTCCACCCACGCTTGCCCACCGCATCGTGGGGCCCGGTGACCGTCGGTGTCCCAGCTGGCCGCGACACGGCCTAGGAAGAGCTTCGGTACGGCCTCCCACCTGAGTGTCCAGCCTGGGGTCTGTCCTTCGCCCCAGACCTGGGCCAGGTTGACGTGTGGTCATTGCCACCTGTCTCCTGGCCTCCGGCCTGGAATCGGGTGACAACCGGGCCGCCTCTGTGTCCCTTACACGGTGAGCCGGCGGCCACCCTGCTCAGCGGGACCCCTTGTGCCCGACTGCCCGGCACCCTCAGCCCCGGCCTCGGTCCCTGGAGCGCGTGCGGCCGTGTGTCGGGTGCGCGCTGTGCGTCCTCTCCGAGCCAGGCTGGCCACCGCACGCGTGTGTGCTCCCATCGCCGGGCAGGAAGGTTCAGCAAGTCCCTGTTCCCGGGCGCCGTCAACCACGTGGGCGCGAGGGGTCCTCCCGACGCCTGGGCGGGATCCCCGGCGCTGGCGTTTGGCCTAAGTGGGGACGCGGGCACCTCCCGCGGCCTGCCCCGGGGCGGGGTGGGGGGACGCGTAGTGACGGCCAGGAGGACCCGGCCCGGGCGGGGGGACAGCAGACGCCCCTCCCTCGGCCGCGCCGCCTCCTTTGTCGTCCCCGCTCGGTTTGCCGAGGCGAGGCTGTCCCGCGGGGGGCGCGGCAGAGCGAACCGTCCTCCTGGAAACGCTCCCCACGGAGGTGTCGATTCGGCCGCGGGACGCAGACCCCTGGCGGCGGCGGAGACCCCGGGCCCGGAGCCGCGCGGGCGCCCTGGGGCGCTCACCGCGGCCAGAGGGGCGAGAAGCAGCGCGGCGCGCGGGGCCGGGGAGCCGGGCCGAGGCGGACGCGCTCCCTCCCGCCCTGCCGGGCCTCGCAGCGCCGGGTGGGGTCCCGGCGGTTTATTCACCCCGCGCGGGCAGGGGTGCGGAGGGAACGGGGGCGGCGCGGAGGGGTGGTCCGCGGCTCCGCGAGCTTTAACCTTCCGGCGGCGGCCGTGCGGGCGCGGAAGGGGACGAGCCGGACGGGGCAGGGGAGGGGTCCACGCCGGGGGCGGCCGCGGGACCCGCCACACAGGCCTTGGGCAGCCTTGCGCGCCCCTCCGCGCCCCCGCCCCCACCCCCACCCGGGGGCCCTCCCTTTCCGGCCCTCAGCCCTCCGCCCTCCCCGTCCCCTCCCCCCGCCGTCCCACCCGCTGCGACCCTCCCCTCGCCCCGGCCCCCTCCCCCCCCCGCCCTCCGCGAGCCTCCCGCCGTTTGCCTGCCTCGTCCTCCTCCTCCGAGCCGCGCATCCAGGCAAGAAAATCCAGCGTCTTTTCTCATTTAACCCGCGTTTCCATTAACTCAGTCCCGGCACCAGCTAATCCTCGGCACCGAAGGCAAAAGCAGGCTAATTAATGACCAGCTTTTCCAGTCAAGACCGGCGATAATTGCTTTGGTGGCCTTTATGATTACAAGATAAAAATGGCCCGGCCTGACATGAGGCCCTGTGTACACTCGGAGACAGGAGGGAATGAGGAGGTGGGAGGCTGGATACGGAGCAGAAAATTACTAATAGAAGAGACATAATGAATAGGCCGGCCAGGCATTCATGGGGAAAAAATCCATTTTGTTACCACGCGAAATTAGGTGGTGGAAAAGAGTTTGCTAATTGTTCTCCTCTTGTAGCAACCGGGGCCGAGGCGGGGGCGTGCGTCTCCGTTCATTCACCCAGCAGTGGCGCGGGGCGTTGCGGCCGCAGCCGCGCACCGGCCTGTCTTCCCGGGCGTTGGTAACTGCGGCTAACGCACCTGCTGCCGAAGCTAAGGGCGAGCACCGCGCACCTTCTGCCCGCGGAGACTAGCAAAGTGCACCCAAAGGATCCCCCCACCCGCCCCCAGAACAGTGAGAATCTGACGGTTTGTCTCCCTGACACTCCGCACGGCGGAGGGGTGCCCTCGTGGACCTGCAGATCCTTTCAGGGAAAAGCGCGGAGGTGCGCGGGCGCTGGGCTGTGTGTCCCGCGGTCGCGCAGGCAGAGGGGCTCTGGTGGGTGGGGGCGTGGGGAAAGGTTTCTGCGCAGGCCACCCGCCTGCAGTGTCTCCCAGGCTGCGGACCTGCCCCGGCTCCGGCTGTGTGCTGTAGAGCTCTCTGACCTCCCTGTGCCCCAAAACATTTGCGGGGCAAGCTCGGGATACACTGGGGTATTTTCCTCACACCTGTTCAGAAGAAGGGACGTGCGCTTTTACTTAAAGCAGCAAATCAACTGCCAAGACTATGTTGTTGTGGTTGGAAAGATGGTGGCCTCCAGGAAACCAAGTGAGGCCTCTAAGTTTCCTTTTGAAAATGTTGCAGTCTGTGGCTCGCTAGTTAGAGATGCCTTCCCCCTTGTTTGAGGGCCGCTGTTTGGATGGCCCTCCTGCGGTTGCGTTAATGCCAGCACAGCTCTGGGCTGAGCCTGAGTTTGCCTTGCGCGGCAGAAGGGTAGTTTCTAGGAGGTCATAGTCTGTTCGGTGTTCACGGGGCTCCTTCTCTCCTGTTCTGCAGAAAAGCAAACTCAGGCTTCTGCCGCACGGAGCGGAGCAAGAGGACTCGACCCCGTTCATCGTGCTGACCCTGGTCTCTGTCGTCGCCATGGTTGGGGTCCTCCTGGCCTCTGCGGTCATCTACTGCCTACGCCACGCCTCCCACTCCGGGCTGCGGGAGAAGCTCTCGGGGCTCGGGGAGCACCCCGGCCCGGATGCCACCGCCGCCTACCAGGTAGGGGTTCAGATGGCTTCCGTTCATCAGTGCACGGCCTGTGGCCCCTCTCTGGCCCCAGCGCTCTGTCTAGTCATGGTTCGGGTTCTTTCGGGAAAACGGTTTGAGACTGTCCATCAGAATTCACAGAAATGCCTCGGAACCACAGTTTCGTTGCTATGTATTAATCTTACCCTGTTCTCAGCTAGTCTGTTAGATGTGATAGCAGGTTGCTCATTAGAAATCTGGAAAAAGTACGAAACATGAATTATGTATTATCTGTTATCGTTCTTAGTTTGGCCACTGTTCATGAAAAATGCCAAAGTTGCAAGATAAATGGGTTGTGTAAACGTTTGAAGATGTCTCTTAAATCATCGACTTCCTCCGGGTCTCCTATGAAAAGATCTTTTGCCCTGATCCATCGCGACCCCCTGCCAGTCTCTGGATAAAGTGTAACCTAACGATGATAAGTGGGAAGTGAGCCCAGGGCATCTCGTTGAGAGCGGTGGTGGCTGCCGGGTGTGGGAGCACACCTGGACGCTGTCCGCAGCCACTGAGAGTGGGAGGGAGGCAGGACAGGAAAAGGTTTCTGGACGCTCTATAGCACCTGCTTCCGACTTAGTGACGTCCTGTGGTGACACTGAGCCCCGGTTCTGACAGCAGTGCCAGCCCACCGCAGAGGCAGGTCAGGGCACAACTCTCAGTGTCCTCCCCTTTGGGAAGGTAGAATACTTCATCATCGTTTTAGAAATCCAATCAATATGTATTTTCTCTCCTTAGACGAGATTCCTTGTTTCCTCTACTCACATGATTCTGATGGTAATAGGTCTGTCTTGTAAACAATGCATTGTATTTTACAATAACACGCAAGTTGAAGAGTCCGCCATCACAGTTACATGGGGAGGAGGTCTCAAGCTTTTTCTAGAACTGCCCCTCCCTCCACACCGTCCTGCGAGGTGCCCCCAGGAGCTCGTCGGAGCGAGCGGCGTTTGCTCTGTGGGCCACCCTGACACTGGCCCACAGGAGGAGCTGGGATGAATTTATAAAATCACTGTGTTTATTTTTTTTAATTTATTTGACAGACAGATCACAAGTAGGCAGAGAGGCAGGCAGAGAGAGAGACAGGAGGAGGAGGAGGCGGGCTCCCTGCTGAGCAGAGAGCCCGATGCGGGACTCAATCCCAGGACCCTGAGATCATGACCTGAGCCGAAGGCAGAGGCTTTAACCACTGAGCCACCCAGGCGCCCCTAAAATCACTGTGTTTAAAAGAGACCAAGAGATAGCTTTCTCCCGCAATTAGAAAATTCTTGGTATTGTCGCCCAAGAGAGAAAAGCACTGGTTTTCTGGAGAAGGTCACAGGGCTGGTCAGTGTGATCTTCTCTTATAAAGAAATGGCACCTTCAAACGTGTGGGAGGTGGCGCTTCAGCCCCAGTGCACGGCTGTGCTTCAAAGCAAGAGAAAAATCACGTTTGAAGAAGAAGCCCTGAAAAAAAAATGTCACATAAACTAGTAAGAATTTATCCAGAAATTCTATTGAGCAAGACCATCGGTGTGGGCTGCTGGGGCTTCTGGGCCACATCTGTGCCAGGACATAAATAAATTATCACACCAGTTCTGTTCTGTGTGCCGGAGACGGGAGATCACACAGGGGTGGGTTTTTAGAAAGCATGGCATCCTTTGATACACTTTGAAATTCAAATATAAAATATTGATAGAATGGAAAGGTTGAACTTGCATGCAGAAATGACTCAGTTTGGCAAAAATGCAGGTTGAAATTGCACACTTAGAACTGAGTTTGTGATAATTAACAGAAAAAAAATCTTCCCAGTGACAGCTCTAATTAATAGTATCTGTAATTAAAATCATGCCCTTCCAGCAGGAAAATTGTTTGAATTTCTTGGAGTGACCTTTTTGCTGTTCCTCCTGGGGGCATGGTGGTTAAGTTGATATTGATTTTATAATGAGCTCTGGTTTGTTTAATAAGAATCTGTAATCCAGACAATAAATGAAATGTGTGCTTTTCTTCAATCCAGATTAATAAAAAGGGGAGGAAAAGCATAGGAAAAAACTTTTCTTTAGAAAATATGATCTAGGAAAATTTGGAAATGAAATGAAATTATTATTTCTGATGGGCTTAGTTTTGAAATCACCATGAAATACCTTTCAGGGAACTGCTCTGATTAAATGCAGACATTTGACCCAAAGCGGGCGGTCTCCTGGCCAGGAAGATGCCAGCCAGCGGGGATGGGATTTTGGCACTGTTACCTCTGGGTTCCGCTGAGTCACGCATGAAGGGCTCTCCTCCCCGTGGCTACAAAGAGCGGATGTTTTCGTTTGTAAACGAAGCAGGTGTTAATTTCCAGCCGCCACCGCACTGAACTTGGCTTTTCCGGAGCGACACCTGAGACCCCCCCTCCCAGCTTCAAGTCTGTCTGAGAAGTTGTTCCAAGTTTTGCAAACATAAAAACCATTTCAGGAGAAGTTGCCTGGATGCTGTACTTTTTTTAACCGTTGACTTCTGCAATCCGCTCACCCTCTGATGCGAGTGCTGTCGGCTGGACCTGCTCCTACTTCCCAGCACCGGGTGGTGAGGAAAACAGCAATTTTACATCGTCCCTCGGTTCATACGCCATCATTTTTATAAACTCTCCGAAAGAGACGAAGGTTATTGTGCACGGAGGTTAGAAGTAGCTGCCTGGGAATGAGGAGTGGTGGGCGGCAAGGTAATAAGTTTTACTGACGTCAGAATGTGAACTTGCCCTTCATGGAGGAACTGTTCTCAGAACGGAGGCTCTGGGTCCGCAGGGAGGACAGGGAGCTCCGGGCTGGTGCTGCAGAGGAGGCACGGGAGGCCTCTGGAGTGGGCGTTCTTCTTCCCAGAGAGCCAAAAAGGACGGTCTGTCTGTGTGCAGGTGAACCGCAGGGTGGTGGCCTCATTGCGCAGGGCGGACCCCGCAGCAGCCCGCCCTGTGTAAGCCCTGGCCCACGTCAGCCCCGACAACACACCCCTTCTAATATCTGTCCTCCCAGGCTCCTGGCGGCCAGTGCGGAGTCCCCGTGTGCTCATAATTCATGGTCTGCAGCTTTGGGGAAGCTACAGTGCATTTGTGGAGTGTTCTAGAATAATCTGTGGGCTTGTCTTACAAATGTTTCAAAACAGTGAGTAGTTTGCAGTATTAGGTCCCAACACAAACACGTTGAAACCTTTTCTCTTCTTCCTCAGAATAGAACTATTTCGTAGACAGAGTCGGCGTCTTAAAGCTTAGTTTGCGTGTGTGTGCGCATGCGTGTGCGTGCGCGTGCGTGTGATATTTTGGTTTGCTTTACCTATTGGAAAATCAAATGTTTCCCGATAGACTCTCAAACGTTAGCACTTACCAAGAGATCAGTCCTACCAGATAGTCTACCAAGGTTAACTTCTTCAAACTTGGAAGAACAGGGTATGTTAACTATGACAATAACTGAAATCCATCTGGAAAGGCCATTTTTTTTAATGGCCTCCAAACTCGCCGGTGTTTTACTGAATGTCATTTTTTTTCTTCTAAATATATAAAACATAACGTATTTGGGTTAAATTGGTACTTTGTCACCTAAAAAGATAGTTTCTTTACTTTTTCTCTCTTCTCTCCCCGAAACTGGCACGTCGGCGCACAGCATCTATGTCACGTGAGCGCGTGTGCCCACGTCGGTCTGCTGGCCGCTGGCGCGTGTGGTTGGTGTGTACGCAGCGAGCTGCCAGGCCCAGCGCAGGACAGGCGTCTCCAGGCTCGGGAGCCCTGCCTCTGCGGAGGGCCATGAGTAGGTGGTTAGAACACATCCCGTCCTCTCTCTCCGAGTCTGCGTGTGTCGCCTCCTTTCCCTGCGGCATTGATCACCGTGGAGCAAGAGTCCCGTGCTTGCTGTCCCACTCCCCCATCCCTACACGAGGGCACAGACTCCGCAAAATTTCCAGAAGGCCTCTTGTGATGGGCATACTCCCTGATCCCTTGGAGGGAACCAGACCCCGAGGGGAGCACGCCCCTGGGCGCGGTGCGCATCCCACACACAGCGATGATCGGCGAGGGACCCTGCGTTAGATGCCAGGTGGCTGCTCTCCGTGGGGCTCCCTCCACTCCAGCTGGCAGCTGCGGCCCAGCTTCTCCCCACGGCCCAGCTTCTCCCCACCGTCCACGGGGGACCCAGCCCCTCACAGAGGAGGGCGCCTGTCACGAGCTTGTTCTCCGGGGCCTCAAATTCAGGGACCCTTCTTTCTCAAAGACAGTTTGATCTTTTGTAACTGGTACAATCACTCGTTAGAGAAGCATTTTCCATTCTAGGTGGAAAACAGGGGGTCTCCTGAGGTTTTCCTGACCCCACCTCGAGCTCCTAGAACAGCCTGTTTCCAACAGCTAGGTATCAGTCAGCGAGAACGGTCTTTCTTTGCTTTACACCTAAGTTTTCAGGTCAAAGTAACTTTTGTGCAACGTCCCAGCAAGTGAAATCTACCCTGCTTCATAGAAGGAAAACTGCCCTCAAGCACTCCTGAAGATCTTGGGGTTTTCTCCCAACCCAGTCAAGCCTGAGAATGGGGATTTTGCTAATTTTGCCTTTCAGGGAGTCGCAGCTAGCACCTGAAGCCTTCCGGACACTGAGCTGACGTCTCATCCAGTCAAGGGGAGGCCTTGTCCTGGGGTCCTGCGCTCCACGACCCCAGAAGGAGGCCCTGGCCTCACTGTGAATTAAGTAAATGCTTCTCTGCGCAGCTGCGTGAGACCCGAAGGCGAGCTTGCAGACTTTGTCCTGCCGCGAGGAACATGTCCGCCCTGAGCAGTTCGAGAACCTGTGTGTGGGGGCACATGCCTGCAGGTTCAAGGGATCGACAGTCGGGCCACAAGCTCCGCTGAGTCTTCCAGATTCCTTCCACCCTGGGTCTGAGTGCTGTCCTGTGAGGTGTGAATCTGTAGTGCGTTTTTCTCATAAATCTTACATCTTCCAGCCCGCAGGTTCCCCATGCCGCGGCTGTGTGCCCACTCTCCAGCG